GAGACGACTTGGAGGACAACTTGTAAATTTTAGGATAAAAATACACGATAATTAAAATCTTTAAAAAAATTCAAGTGACGGCCTGAAATTAAACTGATGCTGCAATGAATCCTCTCATTAAGCTCCCAAGGCTCCTCGCTCGTTAGAATATACTTAAAGCTTATTTAATCTCTAACACCAACCCTTTTTAACTCAGATGGATGCCCTGTGGTCAGTAAGCGTGGCTTCCATTGTACTATCTACGATAGCAGTTTACAGCTATCATTGGGATCCTCTTATTCCCAGCCCATTAGAATCTTCTTAAAGCTGCTTATTTAATCTCTAATACTACCTTTTTGTGACACAGATCGATGCGCTGTGGTCAGTAAGCGTGGCTTGCATCGTACTATCTGCGATAGCAGTTTACAGCTATCATCGGGATCTGATCCGTGTCCTGATTCCCACCTACCCAAGGGACAATTATGGTTTCGTGAAAGAGGGAATAGCTACCTTCCTGTATGATGAGGAGAAGCTGATGGTTGCCGTATCTTCTCTCCTCGTGGTGTTTTTCATCTTGGAGATCATGCTCGCTGCCACTCTTGTTAGAAGCACAACTCTTGCAAGCCTCCAGCCCCCATCAGAGCACGAGGTAGGCATTACGAGAGAATTTTAGGACCCCAATTTATTCTAAATTATTTTGAAAATCAATGTAAAAAACTTGTTCCAAAAACGAGAAATCCCAAACATTTTATGGCGGGCGCTGCGGGTGGGCGAAATAAACCAAACCCTGAGTTCTGATTGGTTAAAGTATCCCGGAAAAAAAGAGTTTGTACATCCAGTTACTTCAAGGAAGCAGTCCGAAAAACGAGTCTGGTGACGAGTTACATGAGTTTACTTATATTTTCTTCTCACATCTGCAAACATGATAAATCCAATATGATCAACGTACCGTAATTATCCAATAAGGATAAGTACGTGTAAGCTATGGAGTCGCAAGACATGAAGGATTTAGTCCCTTTTTACTTCCTATTTATGAGCTACATGTAGAGCGATTTCGTAAAAAGGTAAATATTTATTCAAAACCTCTCTTGTACGTTGGAAATTGTTACAGAACCCAAGACTCGGTCAAAGACTGACGGTGCGTATGGAGACTGTCACCTTAAGATTTGTCATCAAATACCCAATTTATATCGCAAGAAACAACAAATTCATTCCTAAAAGGTAAATATTCAGCGACCTCCCAATCCAATTATGATTAAAATTCTCCTATTTTTTATATCGTCACTGATCTTTTTCAGCTGCATTGTATTCACCCACCAAGAGGAAGATCAAATACTATTCAGTCTGAGTGTGAGTGTTAGTCATCGCGCCCGTTTGTGTCTGTAACATGACACTAGAATGAAAGAAAACCTTTGTCAACATACATCTTTTGACAAATAATAGCAAACTTTAATTACAAAAATGACAATAGTAAAGATAGTATAAAACAATGCAAAAATTGAGTGTGCCTGCCGTTAATAAATAAAGCTTTAATTATCACCTGTTCATATGACTTTTAAATTTAAGCAATTACATCACTAATAAATATTACATTCTTGCATATTTTGCTGATTTAATCACATATAAGTATATAAATATTTCCTTAAAACCCCTAAAAAAATTAACATATGGATTCTCATATTCCGCTTAATCCTCTCTGTATCTATGTATTTTGGTTTTCTTGTTCCCTTTTCGAATGCAGCTTTCTGATTGGATTCATTATTGCCGCCCTTCGAGCCTATGAAGCACAAAAAAACCACCCGGTACGCAGGATACCAACACGTGGGGAGAGTCGTAATAAAATGAAAATGTTTCGTCAAAATAACGTAATTACCCTCGATACCTTTAGGAACCATTGCTTTTTCTCAAATAACAGGGCACCCAGCATTAACACTTATAAGGAAACTGAAAAAAACAGCAACAACAAGAGATCGACGAATAGACAGAATGACCTTGCAAATATGAACCCTTTAACTCTGATAAGTGACCGTGACAGAACTTCTCCTTACAACATCAATACAAAACCAAGGAGACAGGTAGTGAGTATATAGAAAAATATCAGTTTGGGGATTATTAGTTGATCCAATCCCAAATTCTCTCAACTAACATGATAAGAATTGTATGGCAGACGGTAAGAGGAATTACGGATGGCATCTTTAGAGTCGAAGAGTAAGAATACACGGCACTAATAAAACAATAGCGTTTATGTTTCGGATTAAGATATGTTTTGGGCCCGACTCAGAGTCATTTTAGCCCGAGTCGTAAGGCGAGGATTTAGTTGACTCTTAGAGAGACCCAGAAATTAAATTTAGCTCAAGAACATTAACTATATTACTATTATTATCACATGAGAGGGGGTTGAAAAAAATAAGAACTAAGAAAGAATGACAAAATAGTCTGACAACCACGCGAGCGTGCGAGCGGGCCCAAGTACATTTTAGCACAAAAAAATCCATTTTAGCCCGATAAATGCGCCAAGTGATAACAAAATCTAGTTTGAAAAAAAATACATATATATTTCGTTTCGATAGAAATAAAGCCATGAGACGTTTAACAGGTATCTCAATACGAGTTCGTAGATTCTTAACACAATTCTTTGAAACGATGGGTTCTTTTAAACTTTGGCATTGGTTTCTTTGCGCGCGGCGACGTTACAATTATAATTAAACTTGGAAATGAATGCCAAACTCACCATAATCGAGCCAATACTAAACACCGTACTTGTCAAACACTCGTGAAATGTTCTTCACCATCATCCTTAACGTTTGACGTCTCTCCAGTGGCAAGTAACATTCCTCGTTATATCCCTCGCTCACTGATAATACTATAACTGATGATATTATCAGCAGCCTGTTCGCCAGCATTCTTCTTCTTCTTCTTGACAAAAAATCACAACGAAACATTGTAAACAACTTAGCCTCCTCAAAATCAGTAAAAGCCGTCTTTCAGCGGAGGATGTCATGCAAATCTAAAGAGAGCATGGAAAGGTGTGTGAGCAGTCCATACAAATGAACTGGAAGACAATTGTTTGGTTACAAATCAGAACGTGGAATAGAAACAAAAAAGATACAAAATGAAATTGAAATCAAGTTTCGATGACTCTAATTTAGAGTCATGCTCTGATATCACTGAACCTGTCATTGTATTGATTACATGTCGAAAACAACGTGCACTTTCCAAAATTAATATGAACTAAAAAGTTACCCCATAGAAAGTAAAATTTTGCCGCGTTGAATTATCTTGAGCTTCCAAATAAAAACAGCGAAGAGAATTTAATTGCTCTTCACATGGATCGTGACATTTCTCAGTGTGTAATTAAGAGTAAGAAATATTCATGAAGAAACAAATATTTGATAAGCTCCTATTTAACAATCATGTTATACAAAAGAAACAAGACAACTCTTTTGCAGTCCAACCTGTATTAAGCAGTTCCATGTTAAGCTTTCACCCTGTATTAAGCGGTCGGTTTTCAAAGGACGAGATTGTTACCCCTTGGTGACTGTAATTTTCACCTCTATTAAGCGGTCGCAGTCACCCGTTACAAAGTCCCAAAGGTCTTTTTGTATCGTTCTCCACCTGTATTGCGCGGTCGCTTAAATCGGAACCAATTAACTAAGACTTAAATAATCTTTCATGTAAGACTTAATTCATTTTTATCTCCCTAAATCATGTTAGTGGTATTTTGGAGCTACTATCAACTAGTTCCCTTTAACTCAGATGATAGAATAGGATTCGACCGCAAAAATGGAAGGTATGTGATTCGATTTACTTGTACCAATAATGGAGTTTTCTTTTAAAAAAACTGTAATAAGAATTCGGAAAAGAATTGGCTTCCCAAATAATTCCATCTAGTCCGCTTAAAGGTGGACATTCCGACTAAGCCACCCGACGGTGGTCATTATGATGATTGCATTAACGGGTGTTAATCAGAACGGCGACCACTACTACCATACCTTTTTAATAGTATGATTTGTGAACACACTGTAGATATGTGGGCACCAGGATGATGGCCGCAGCCATGGATCCCAAACCGGACAAATTGCAAGATAATATCATTGTAAAGTTTAGGAATCTGAAGGTAACAGCGAGAGAAAAAATTCTCATAACATCAGTCCTTCTGGTGTTTTCAACAAAGATAAAATGTATTTTCAGGACGATAGAGGGGAGAAAAGTTGCGTGTTCTGGAATGGCTTTAGTGCAAAGAGGTAACCTTAGTACCGATTGATAACTTTGCTTTCGGAAATTTACACCTAATTCAAAAATTAATTAGAAACAGAAAAATTTGAAAGGAGATCGTGTAGTGTCATCGTTCAGGTGAGGGAAGCTCATAAGGCGAGGTAATGACAATGAAGAAAATGGGGCTTGGAAATTAATCGATTGATAAATGAACCTCCATTTTAAAAAGGATTTCGCTGGTGACTCGATGAATTTACCCCATCTAACGGCACCAGAGCCTTATCCACTTCACCCTTACAAAGAAAGGCAGCGTTAAATTATTCTTGAAAACCAGAGTAATTCGACGTTCGGGTTTTTTTTAATGGTAATACAAAGTAGTTTCTGATCTCAAGTTGCCGTTTTGCAGAATTATGTCGCCCAAAAAAGCATGTGTAGGTTCCGTTTTGCGCTATTTTGTTTGTCATCAGAATTAATTGAAATAAATCATGGTTTGGCCTGCAGATTGTGTGGAGTTAACTAATGACCCTCGGGGGCGAGCTATAATTACAGAAATTGCTGGTGAGAAGTCTCCAAAATTTAGCTTCGAATACTAATTAGACGGCATCGCCACTTGAGCTACTGAGCCACATGTCGCGAGTAGGGGAAGGAATAAATTATGTGATAAAGTTTGCTTTGTTTGACCTATTCATTTCATCATTAA